CGAAAGGTACCGATTGGTTGTTCAAGGGTGCTTTTGAAATCTTGCTCAAAGTGGCCTCGTCCTTTGTCCATTTTGACACCCTAGAGACTGAGCCCATGACAGAAACCAGACGCCAGGCTATCACCGACACTATTAACCAATATGCGAACCGCTCGCTTCGAACCATTGGAATGCTGTATCAAGATATGGCCCAATGGCCTCCGGCTAACGCAGAGCTCACCGAGGGCGGTAGTGTCGATTTTGGATCACTGCTCAAGGATCTTACTTTTATTGGTGTCGTCGGCATCCAAGATCCCGTCCGTCCTGGTGTTCCCGATGCTGTGCGCAAGGCTCAACGCGCGGGCGTTACAGTAAGAATGGTCACCGGTGACAACATGCAAACAGCACGAGCGATTGCCACCGAATGTCTCATCTACACTGAAGGTGGTGTCGTGATGGAGGGTCCAGAGTTTCGTCGTCTACCAGACGATGAAATGGACAGAATACTTCCTCGCCTGCAGGTTCTTGCGCGGTCATCGCCAGAAGACAAGAGAATCCTTGTCCAACGATTGAAGGTTCTCGGCGATATTGTCGCTGTAACAGGAGATGGTACCAACGACGCACCAGCTTTGAAGGCGGCAAACATTGGCTTTAGTATGGGTATTTCTGGCACCGAAGTCGCGAAGGAAGCATCTTCCATTATTCTTATGGACGACAACTTTGCGAGCATCATCACGGCTCTCATGTGGGGCCGCGCTGTCAATGACGCGGTACAGAAGTTCTTGCAGGTAAGCGACAAAATTCTAGGATTCACTCATTCCCGAGCTAACGAGGTAGTTTCAAATTACCGTCAACATCACCGCTGTCCTGCTCGCTTTCGTTACCGCCATATATGACGAAGAAATGAAGCCCGCACTCAAGGCTGTGCAGCTCCTCTGGGTAAACCTCATCATGGACACGTTTGCTGCCCTCGCGCTCGCCACGGATCCCCCAACGGAAAAGATTCTCGATCGACCACCTCAGGGCAAAGACAAGCCGTTGATTACGACCACAATGTGGAAGCAAATAACTGGCCAAAACATCTACAAGCTCACTGTCATCTTCGTCCTATACTTCGCTGGCGGTGACATCCTCAACTACGACATGTCCAACCCGGACAAGAGTCTTGAGCTCGACACTGTCATATTCAACAGTTTCGTCTGGATGCAGATCTTCAACATCTTCAACAATAGACGTCTCGACAATAAGCTTAATGTCCTCGAGGGCATTCTGAGCAACTTTTTTTTTATTGGAATCGTCGTGCTCATCATCGGATTGCAGGTCATGATCATCTTCGTCGGTGGGCGCGCGTTCCAGATCAGCTCTGGAGGTCTCGATGGTACGCAATGGGCCATATCTATTGTTACCGGATTCATTTGTATTCCATGGGCAATGGCTATCAGGTACTTCCCTGATGAATGGTTCGCAGCTATTGCAGCCGTGCTGGGAAGACCCGTGGTCATCTTATACAGGTGGTGTTGTCAAGGGGCATCCAAGATCAAGGCAATGTTCAAGCGCAAGAAGGGAAACACGGAAAGCGACGCCGAGACGGGTGTCATGCCTGCGATCGTTGTCAATGACGATACTAGTATGAGAGAGCAGAAAGCATCATAGGTGTTAGGACGTTGATGATTATGGAGACGACTGTTGGTTAGAATATGATACCCATGTACACTTTTCGCCAGATTATTCGGCTCATTGTTCAGATTTGTCTCAACTGCATAAATCGGCTTGTGCGTTGCTCCACGCGCCAGTTTCTTCGATCAGCCATTTCGAAGTGGTCTCTCATAGGAAGGGTGGGGGCAAAGAGTCTAGTGTGGCGAGATGATCATTAATGAGGGTCTCTCTCCTTAAATCAGATTCAGCTCTCTTGCCACTAGAGACATTGCCTCAGACTAACATTGCTGAGGCTTGGCAATGCATGGTCTTCTCTACACAGTAAATCTGGCCACGCTAGTAACTATACATAATACCCTAAATTTTACTTCCTAGTATTGCATTGGGTACGTCCCAAGCTCCAGAACACTGTTGCGGGGAAATTAGCATGTCTATTCCCGATCATCTACCATTACGATGGAACTAAGACTCTCCTTTGTGTATTATGAACTGGGGTCGCTCTTTTACATGCATGCTAGCTGTGTCAGATACATTTTTTCGTGTACTGTCCTTGGCTCCCCAATAATTGTGAACTGAGTCAGTGAATTAGATTTCCTTCTATTTGTAGAAGCCGATCCCACTTTCGCACGCACCACTATCTGTATTGTGTACAACATGTATATTATTTTCCGAACCGAATTGTGGTCCATAGCCCCACCACCTCGACAGCGGCAGACTTTCCAACTTTTGCCTCGTCTGGCCGCGAATATCTTTCATCTAACAGACACACACCTAAAATCGGGTACTAACGTGATCCACCACCGAGCGCCCACCCCCACCGAGCGCCCACCAACACTAAAATCACTAAATTTTCAACACTAAATTTCTTAACAACTATAGCACCTATTAATAACGCGCTTATAGTAATTAAATCCTTAACTCTTAGAGAAGATTTTATATACTTAGAAATAGTAGAAAAATATAGTTATATATAGTTAACCTTATCTAGATACTACTAGAAAATTTAGTAGGTATATACTACTACTCTACTAAATAGTTAAATACTTAATACTATATAAGAAAGTAAGCTTATAAAGTATATTAAAGAGCTTTATAGGTAAGGATTACCTCTTATATAGACTATTATTTAAAATTTTATAACTAAAATAATAGGGAATCTAGTAAGTAAAAATTAAGTATAGCACTTTATTAACTACTATAATATTAATCTTATCTCCTATTAAGCTACTAGGCTTAATTATAACTACTTTAAAACTAATTCTACCTTTAAGTATAGCTTATACTTTAAGCTTTTATACTAAAAAATAGAGTAATATAATATTAAGAGTTAGTATATCTATAATATAGATAAGAAAGGTTTTCTTATTAGAGTACTATTAAAAACTAAATATATATTTAATAAGAGCGCCTATAAGTAGAGAAAGATTAAAGCTATACTCTAGGATAGTAATAGGGAGTAGATTACTACTATAGCTTATATATACGCTAATAGTACTACTCTTACTTCTACCCTTATTTATTAGTCCTAATCTAGAGCTATTGCAGGAGGGATATCAACTGGATCACGGAGCATCTTGATCCCGATCAATCCCGATCAATCCCGATCAATACCCCTGTATAACCCACTATCTAATCAACTGCCAGCTTACTGCTAAGTGCCTAACAAAAAGCAGGAGCTCTAGTAAGGAAGGTTTACTAATTATTCACCTTCTAGTAAGGGTAGCTAAAGCTCTATATATATAAGTACAATCGTAGTAGATATAATCTAATAATCTATCTCCTAAATTATTCCTAACCTTAGTAATCTAAATTTCTATAGTTATAAGCCTAGTTTGCGCTTTACCTTATTAAAGATTGTCCTATCTATTTAAGCGTATTATTTAACTTAGACACTAAGCTAGAAAGCTTTACTCTTTATACTATTTCTTAAGTAAAAGCTTACTTATTACTCTTCTACTATAAGCGACTAAATCCTAAAGGGGGATATTCTACTTACAGGATTAACTAACTAGCCTACCTAGTATATTTAATTTAGATACTATGCCCTAACTAAAGGGATCTAGGTAGAGGTAGACCCTAAGGCTCTAGATGCTAAAAACCACTTTAAAAATAAACCTATTAAGCCTAATATGCTAATAGATATTACGCTATCTAATATAACAAGCAAGCAGTACAAGCTCTAAATAGCTTAGTACTAAGCCTGCTTATTAGATTAGGTATTAAAGTTATTAGTAATCTAGAACCTCTTTATATAGGTTAATAATATAGTAGATTAAGGGATCCTTACCCTAGCCTATATAGAGCTTATTAATTAAGGAAGAGTAACCCTCTAAGCACTTATCTAAGTGCTCTACAATAACCTAGCGCTAACTAACTTAAGCGCTATAACACTAGCAAGATTATAGTATAAAGCTTATCTTGCTAAGGTAAGAATAAGTAGCTAAGACACTAATTACTAGCAGAAGGAGTAGATAATCCTATATACGCGAGCTAAGGTATATAACATTCCTAATATTAAAGGATAGCTTATAGTATAGGATTATCTTAAAGCTCTATCTACTAGGATCTTACTAGATTAGGGTTAAACTATGTTTTAAAGGATTATTAAAAAGTTAGTAATAGGAAAGCTAACTTATAACCTCCTATAGGTTGCTAAGATCTATTTATTACTGCTCTAAGAGAATAATATAAGATTAAGCTTTAAGGGTCCTAGAGTGTTTGCAATAATAGGAGCTCCACCTTCTAACTAACCTAAGAAGGAGTCTTTATATCTATATAGTAGATCTTACCTATAGAAACCTCCTAAATACAAAAACGTTATTAAAGCTTAGATTAATACAGGTAACAAGCTTACTACTACTTAATAATTAGAGATTAAGAAAAAGATTAATAGGAATCTAAAATTTAAAGAGTTAAGAAAAACTCTAATTAAGTCCTATCCTATTAATTAAGATTATAGTAGTAAGGCAAAAGAAAACACAATTACCTATCTAGGCAGTATCTAGGCGGCACTAATTAACCCTATATTAATAGCGGAGAAAATAAACAGGATCTATTTAACTATAGACTTTAAAGCTTACGCTCTATTAAAGAGCACTATCTTTAATAATAGGGGTGCAGTGCACCTAGTTAATAATATAAGCTACCTAGAAGAAAGCTTGTTTAGATTAGTTAAATATAAGATAGTTAAAGCAGGAACTTAAGCTTTTCTAATCTTAGGTAGAGGGACTAGAGTAATCCCTAATACTCTTAATAGACCAAGAGGTCTAAAAACAGAAGATTTAGTGCTTACTAACGTGGTATTAGTAGAAGGTTTTTATGTGAATATTATATTAGAAGCTTAATTGCTTAAAGTAGGAGTTTAGTTCCTTAGGCTAGATACTACCTTATAGTTTAGATTATTAGAAAAGAGCGTTATATTAGCTAAGTTACTGCGTAAGTTTAACTTAACTTTCCTAGAATACAAGCCCTCTACTCCTTATCTAATAATCTAAAGCATAGTGCCTAAATAACCCTAATAATCCTAGACAACTTACCTAAGATATAATAGTAAGGAGCTTTAGCACTAATAATTAGGCTATTTAGGACCTAAGGCACTTAAAGCTCTAGTTAAGTTAGTAATAAATATTAGGATTAAAGGAACTCCTAGGAGCAAATGCGAGCACTACGCTATTATACATGCCTAATAGGTTATATTAAGATAACTAAGGGAAAGATTACCACCTCTATACTACTAGGTATTATAGGATCTATTTAACATGCTAATAGGTATAGCTTATAAGCAATAGATCTTAGTATTAAAGTGCAACTACTTAGGAAAGCTTTATACCTATCTACTATAAGCTAAAAACCTTAATAAGATTATATAGGTGTTTAAAAATTTTAAGAGCTTAATACTTAACTAATATAAGCTTAGCATAGTTAAGATTATGCAAGACAATAACGTTATAACGCTCCCTTAGCGTGGCGAATCTTGCTTTTAGATCTAGGTAGCTAATAATAGTATTAAAATTAAGAGCTTACCTGTATATACCTATAAACCTAATAGAGGAGTAGAAAGAGTAGGGTAGGAGATTATAACAAAATTAATTAAAATAAGGATTAGTGCTAACCTACTAACAAAGCTCTAGCCTAAAATTATTAAAGCAGCGACTTGGCTCTATAATATAAGCCTGTCCTATACTTATAATATAATATCACCTAACAAAGTGCTAGATTGTTAGTTTACTAGATACTTTAGGTAGTGGCAACTAGAGTAGATAAGGGAGGTAACTGCTAATCTCTGCCCTAATTAGAGCGGAATATACGCCTATAGCTATTAAGCTTACCCCCTTAACTAAGATTAAGTAGCTAGGCGTCACAAGAGGGTTTTTAAGGTAAACCCTTAGGGTTATATTAGATATCTAGTAGGATATAGAGTATCTAATATATATAGGATATAGATCCCCTTGCTTAATTAAATTATTATAACGCAGAACATTACCTTTAATAAGGATCTTTTCTATAAAGAGAAAGATTTAGAGTAGCTTTAATAGTTAGAAGCTTAAAAGATAGTTAATATTATTAGTAAAGATAAGATCTATAATATAGGAGAAGCATATAAAGAGCTTAATATCTTTAATTAGCTTTATATTATAGTAGAGCAATATAAGGAGTCTAGTAAGCAAGAAGGACTAAACCTAGCGCAGGAGCTAGGGGGTAGGGTAGAGCTAGAGGAGGTAGATAATTAGGCTAGCTAGCCTAGTAATTCACAACCCCCTAAGCAGACACCTTTAGCGTAGGTACTAAGCATAGCTAGCTTAGTATAAAGGATCTATATAAAGTCCCCTAAGCTAATAGGGCTTTAAACTCCTAAACTAACACTAGAACTAAACTTTAGTATAGGAAACAAAGGATCTATACAGGTTATAGATTAGGGTCTTACTACCTAAGATAGTAGTAATCTAACTTACTTTAACACTACAATAGGTAGCTCCTAGGAAAGACCTAGAGGGGAG